GTCTCCACCACCCACACACACACACACTGAGAGGGGGGTTGGCTGGCTGAGTGGACAGCGCTCTAGACTCGTGGACCTAGGGTTCAATCCCGGCAACCGGCGGGAAAAACAAATGAGCAGAGTTTCATCCTGATGCCACCCCCCCCCTCCCCGGTTTCCTAGCAGTAAATAGGTACCTGGGAGTTAGACAGCTGCCACGGAGCTGCTACCTGGGGTGCGAGTGTGTGCACCAGACCAGGAGGCCAGGATACAGTAACCACGACGTGCTCCAGGAGGCCAGGATACAGTAACCACGACGTGCTCCAGGAGGCCAGGATACAGTAACCACGACGTGCTCCAGGAGGCCAGGATACAGTAACCACGACGTGCTCCAGGAGGCCAGGATACAGTAACCACGACGTGCTCCAGGAGGCCAGGATACAGTAACCACGACGTGCTCCAGGAGGCCAGGATACAGTAACCACGACGTGCTCCAGGAGGCCAGGATACAGTAACCACGACGTGCTCCAGGAGGCCAGGATACAGTAACCACGACGTGCTCCAGGAGGCCAGGATACAGTAACCACGACGTGCTCCAGGAGGCCAGGATACAGTAACAGACGTGCTCCAGGAGGCCAGGATACAGTAACGTGCTCCAGGAGGCCAGGATACAGTAACCACGACGTGCTCCAGGAGGCCAGGATACAGTAACCACGACGTGCTCCAGGAGGCCAGGATACAGTAACCACGACGTGCTCCACGAGGCCAGGATACAGTAACCACGACGTGCTCCAGGAGGCCAGGATACAGTAACCACGACGTGCTCCAGGAGGCCAGGATACAGTAACCACGACGTGCTCCAGGAGGCCAGGATACAGTAACCACGACGTGCTCCAGGAGGCCAGGATACAGTAACCACGACGTGCTCCACGAGGCCAGGATACAGTAACCACGACGTGCTCCAGGAGGCCAGGATACAGTAACCACGACGTGCTCCAGGAGGCCAGGATACAGTAACCACGACGTGCTCCAGGAGGCCAGGATACAGTAACCACGACGTGCTCCAGGAGGCCAGGATACAGTAACCACGACGTGCTCCAGGAGGCCAGGATACAGTAACCACGACGTGCTCCAGGGCCAGGATACAGTAACCACGACGTGCTCCAGGAGGCCAGGATACAGTAACCACGACGTGCTCCAGGAGGCCAGGATACAGTAACCACGACGTGCTCCAGGAGGCCAGGATACAGTAACCACGACGTGCTCCACGAGGCCAGGATACAGTAACCACGACGTGCTCCACGTGCTCCAGGAGGCCAGGATACAGTAACCACGACGTGCTCCAGGAGGCCAGGTAACCACGACGTGCTCCAGGAGGCAGGATACACCACGACGTGCTCCAGGAGGCCAGGACGTACAGTAACCACGACGTGCTCCAGGAGGCCAGGATACAGTAACCACGACGTGCTCCAGGAGGCCAGGATACAGTAACCACGACGTGCTCCAGGAGGCCAGGATACAGTAACCACGACGTGCTCCAGGAGGCCAGGATACAGTAACCACGACGTGCTCCAGGAGGCCAGGATACAGTAACCACGACGTGCTCCAGGAGGCCAGGATACAGTAACCACGACGTGCTCCAGGAGGCCAGGATACAGTAACCACGACGTGCTCCAGGAGGCCAGGATACAGTAACCACGACGTGCTCCAGGAGGCCAGGATACAGTAACCACGACGTGCTCCAGGAGGCCAGGATACAGTAACCACGACGTGCTCCAGGAGGCCAGGACAGTAACCACGACGTGCTCCAGGAGGCCAGGATACAGTAACCACGACGTGCTCCAGGAGGCCAGGATACAGTAACCACGACGTGCTCCAGGAGGCCAGGATACAGTAACCACGACGTGCTCCAGGAGGCCAGGATACAGTAACCACGACGTGCTCCAGGAGGCCAGGATACAGTAACCACGACGTGCTCCAGGAGGCCAGGATACAGTAACCACGACGTGCTCCAGGAGGCCAGGATACAGTACCACCACGACGTCCAGGATACAGTAACCACGACGTGCTCCAGGAGGCCAGGATACAGTAACCACGACGTGCTCCAGGAGGCCAGGATACAGTAACCACGACGTGCTCCACAGTAACCACGACGTGCTCCAGGAGGCCAGGATACAGTAACCACGACGTGCTCCAGGAGGCCAGGATACAGTAACCACGACGTGCTCCAGGAGGCCAGGATACAGTAACCACGACGTGCTCCAGGAGGCCAGGATACAGTAACCACGACGTGCTCCAGGAGGCCAGGATACAGTAACCACGACGTGCTCCAGGAGGCCAGGATACAGTAACCACGACGTGCTCCAGGAGGCCAGGATACAGTAACCACGACGTGCTCCAGGAGGCCAGGATACAGTAACCACGACGTGCTCCAGGAGGCCAGGATACAGTAACCACGACGTGCTCCAGGAGGCCAGGATACAGTAACCACGACGTGCTCCAGGAGGCCAGGATACAGTAACCACGACGTGCTCCAGGAGGCCAGGATACAGTAACCACGACGTGCTCCAGGAGGCCAGGATACAGTAACCACGACGTGCTCCAGGAGGCCAGGATACAGTAACCACGACGTGCTCCAGGAGGCCAGGATACAGTAACCACGACGTGCTCCAGGAGGCCAGGATACAGTAACCACGACGTGCTCCAGGAGGCCAGGATACAGTAACCACGACGTGCTCCAGGAGGCCAGGATACAGTAACCACGACGTGCTCCAGGAGGCCAGGATACAGTAACCACGACGTGCTCCAGGAGGCCAGGATACAGTAACCACGACGTGCTCCAGGAGGCCAGGATACAGTAACCACGACGTGCTCCAGGAGGCCAGGATACAGTAACCACGACGTGCTCCAGGAGGCCAGGATACAGTAACCACGACGTGCTCCAGGAGGCCAGGATACAGTAACCACGACGTGCTCCAGGAGGCCAGGATACAGTAACCACGACGTGCTCCAGGAGGCCAGGATACAGTAACCACGACGTGCTCCAGGAGGCCAGGATACAGTAACCACGACGTGCTCCAGGAGGCCAGGATACAGTAACCACGACGTGCTCCAGGAGGCCAGGATACAGTAACCACGACGTGCTCCAGGAGGCCAGGATACAGTAACCACGACGTGCTCCAGGAGGCCAGGATACAGTAACCACGACGTGCTCCAGGAGGCAGGATACAGTAACCACGACGTGCTCCACGAGGCCAGGATACAGTAACCACGACGTGCTCCAGGAGGCCAGGATACAGTAACCACGACGTGCTCCAGGAGGCCAGGATACAGTAACCACGACGTGCTCCAGGAGGCCAGGATACAGTAACCACGACGTGCTCCAGGAGGCCAGGATACAGTAACCACGACGTGCTCCAGGAGGCCGGATACAGTAACCACGACGTGCTCCAGGAGGCCAGGATACAGTAACCACGACGTGCTCCAGGAGGCGAGGATACAGTAACCACGACGTGCTCCAGGAGGCGAGGATACAGTAACCACGACGTGCTCCAGGAGGCCAGGATACAGTAACCACGACGTGCTCCAGGAGGCCAGGATACAGTAACCACGACGTGCTCCAGGAGGCCAGGATACAGTAACCACGACGTGCTCCAGGAGGTCACTGACCAACGCGGCGGTCAACCAGCCTTCACAAGTGCTTAATACAACCATCAATGTATTACTACAAGTACTGTATTAGGCGAATACAACAATTCATACAAAACAATTGCAGTTGAATTTGTGTATTTCCTCAACTTGTGCAATTGTGTGAAATACATCTATTGTGGTTGGTGTAGTGTATTACTTGGCATGTGAGAGTGAGGGAGGGTGAGGGAGGGTGAGGGGGGTGAGGGAGAATGAGGGAGGGTGAGGGAGGGTGAGGGAGGGTGAGGGAGGGTGAGGGAGGGTGAGGGAGGGTGAGGGAGGGTGAGGGAGGGTGAGGGAGGGTGAGGGAGGGTGAGGGAGGGTGAGGGAGGGTGAGAGAGGGTGAGGGAGGGTGAGGGAGGGTGAGGGAGGGTGAGGGAGGGTGAGGGAGGGTGAGGGAGGGTGAGGGAGGGTGAGGGAGGGTGAGGGAGGGTGAGGGAGGGTGAGAGAGGGTGAGAGAGGGTGAGGGAGGGTGAGGGAGGGTGAGGGAGGGTGAGGGAGGGTGAGGGAGGGTGAGTGAGGGTGAGGGAGGGTGAGGGAGGGAGGGTGAGGGAGGGTGAGGGAGGGAGGGAGGGTGAGGGTGGGGAGGGAGGGAGGGTGAGGGAGGGAGGGTGAGGGAGGGAGGGTGAGGGAGGGAGGGTGAGGCAGGGTGAGGGAGGGTGAGGGAGGGTGAGGGAGGAGGGTGAGGGTGAGGGAGGGTGAGGGAGGGAGGGTGAGGGAGGGTGAGGGAGGGAGGGTGAGGGAGGGAGGGTGAGGGAGGGGAGGGTGAGGGAGGGAGGGGGAGGGTGAGGGTGAGGGAGGGTGAGGGAGGGAGAGGGTGAGGGAGGGAGGGTGAGGGAGGGGGGAGTGAGGGAGGGAGGGTGAGGGAGGGAGGAGTGAGGGAGAGGGAGGGGAGGGAGGGAGGGTGAGGGAGGGTGAGGGAGGGTGAGGGTGAGGGAGGGAGGGTGAGGGAGGGAGGGTGAGGGAGGGTGAGGGAGGGTGAGGGTGAGGGAGGGAGGGTGAGGGAGGGTGAGGGAGGGTGAGGGAGGGAGGGTGAGGGAGGGGAGGGTGAGGGAGGGTGAGGGAGGGTGAGGGTGAGGGAGGGAGGGTGAGGGAGGGAGGGTGAGGGAGGGTGAGGGAGGGAGGGTGAGGGAGAGTAATCTTCAGGGGTTTTAAATTATATCCCACAAAACCGGCTGATAAATTCATCGTATTGCATGTTGCCAGACAGGTGGGCGTCCAGGGCCAGACAGGTGGGCGTCCAGGGCCAGACAGGTGGGCGTCCAGGGCCAGACGGGTGGGCGTCCAGGGCCAGACGGGTGGGCGTCCAGGGCCAGACGGGTGGGCGTCCAGGGCTAGACGGGTGGGCGTCCAGGGCCAGACGGGTGGGCGTCCAGGGCCAGACGGGTGGGCGTCCAGGGCCAGACGGGTGGGCGTCCAGGGCCAGACGGGTGGGCGTCCAGGGCCAGACAGGTGGGCGTCCAGGGCCAGACGGGTGGGCGTCCAGGGCCAGACGGGTGGGCGTCCAGGGCCAGACGGGTGGGCGTCCAGGGCCAGACGGGTGGGCGTCCAGGGCCAGACGGGTGGGCGTCCAGGGCCAGACGGGTGGGCGTCCAGGGCCAGACGGGTGGGCGGGCCAGGGCCAGGGCGGGTGGGCGTCCAGGGCCAGACGGGTGGGCGTCCAGGGCCAGACGGGTGGGCGTCCAGGGCCAGACGGGTGGGCGTCCAGGGCCAGACGGGTGGGCGTCCAGGGCCAGACAGGTGGGCGTCCAGGGCCAGACGGGTGGGCGTCCAGGGCCAGACAGGGTGGGCGTCCAGGGCCAGACGGGTGGGCGTCCAGGGCCAGACGGGTGGGCGTCCAGGGCCAGACGGGTGGGCGTCCAGGGCCAGACGGGTGGGCGTCCAGGGCCAGACGGGTGGGCGTCCAGGGCCAGACAGGTGGGCGTCCAGGGCCAGACAGGTGGGCGTCCAGGGCCAGACGGGTGGGCGTCCAGGGCCAGACGGGTGGGCGTCCAGGGCCAGACGGGTGGGCGTCCAGGGCCAGACGGGTGGGGCGTCCAGGGCCAGACAGGTGGGCGTCCAGGGCCAGACGGGTGGGCGTCCCAGGGCCAGACGGGTGGGCGTCCAGGGCCAGACGGGTGGGCGTCCAGGGCCAGACGGGTGGGCGTCCAGGGCCAGACGGGTGGGCGTCCAGGGCCAGACGGGTGGGCGTCCAGGGCCAGACGGGTGGGCGTCCAGGGCCAGACGGGTGGGCGTCCAGGGCCAGACAGGTGGGCGTCCAGGGCCAGACGGGTGGGCGTCCAGGGCCAGACGGGTGGGCGTCCAGGGCCAGACAGGTGGGCGTCCAGGGCCAGACGGGTGGGCGTCCAGGGCCAGACGGGTGGGCGTCCAGGGCCAGACGGGTGGGCGTCCAGGGACGGGTGGGCGTCCAGGGCCAGACGGGTGGGTGTCCGGGCCACGGGTGGGCGTCCAGGGCCAGACGGGTGGGCGTCCAGGGCCAGACGGGTGGGCGCCAGGGCCAGTGGGCGTCCAGGGCCAGACGGGTGGGCGTCCAGGGCCAGACGGGGTGGGCGTCCAGGGCCAGACGGGTGGGCGTCCAGGGCCAGACAGGTGGGCGTCCAGGGCCAGACGGGTGGGCGTCCAGGGCCAGACGGGTGGGCGTCCAGGGCCAGACGGGTGGGCGTCCAGGGCCAGACGGGTGGGCGTCCAGGGCCAGACGGGTGGGCGTCCAGGGCCAGACGGGTGGGCGTCCAGGGCCAGACGGGTGGGCGTCCAGGGCCAGACAGGTGGGCGTCCAGGGCCAGACAGGTGGGCGTCCAGGGCCAGACAGGTGGGCGTCCAGGGCCAGACAGTGTCCAGGGCCAGACAGGTGGGCGTCCAGGGCCAGACAGGTGGGCGTCCAGGGCCAGACAGGGTGGGCGTCCAGGGCCAGACGGGTGGGCGTCCAGGGCCAGACGGGTGGGCGTCCAGGGCCAGACAGGTGGGCGTCCAGGGCCAGACGGGTGGGCGTCCAGGGCCAGACAGGTGGGCGTCCAGGGCCAGACGGGTGGGCGTCCAGGGCCAGACAGGTGGGCGTCCAGGGCCAGACGGGTGGGCGTCCAGGGCAGACGGGTGGGCGTCCAGGGCCAGACACGGTGGGCGTCCAGGGCTAGACGGGTGGGCGTCCAGGGCCAGACAGGGTGGGCGTCCAGGGCCAGACGGTGTGGGCGTCCAGGGCCAGACAGGTGGGCGTCCAGGGCCAGACAGGTGGGCGTCCAGGGCCAGACAGGTGGGCGTCCAGGGCCGGAGAGGGCCAGACAGGGGCGTCCAGGGTCAGCCAGTTCCAGGGCCAGACGGGTGGGCGTCCAGGGCGTCCAGGGGGCCAGACGGGTGGGCGTCCAGGGCCAGACGGGTGGGCGTCCAGGGCCAGACGGGTGGGCGTCCAGGGCCAGACGGGTGGGCGTCGTCAGGGCCAGACAGGGTGGGCGTCCAGGGCCAGACGGGTGGGCGTCCAGGGCCAGACAGGTGGGCGTCCAGGGCCAGACAGGTGGGCGTCCAGGGCCAGACAGGTGGGCGTCCAGGGCCAGACAGGTGGGCGTCCAGGGCCAGACAGGTGGGCGTCCAGGGTCAGACGGGTGGGCGTCCAGGGTCAGACGGGTGGGCGTCCAGGGCCAGACGGGTGGGCGTCCGGGGCCAGACGGGTGGGCGTCCGGGGCCAGACGGGTGGGCGTCCGGGGCCAGACGGGTGGGCCCAGGGCCAGTCCAGGGTCAGAGGGGACGGGCGTCCGGGGCAGACGGGAGGTTTTCCAAGTGTGGGGAAAATTCCCAAGAAAGTCTGGGAAAAATTCCCCCCAAAAAAGTCCGGGGAAACTACTTAGAAAATCTTGAGGAAAACTCCCAAGAAAGTCTTGGGGAAAACACCCAAGAAAGTCTTGGGGAAAACTCCCAAGAAAGTCTTGGGGAAAACTCCCAAGAAAGTCTTGGGGAAAACTCCCAAGAAAGTCTTGGGGAAAACTCCCAAGAAAGTCTAGGGGAAAACTCCCAAAAACACCAGTGTATATAAACTGGACAATTCTGTACTATATGAAAAGCGAGGAAAGTACAAAAGCTGGCGAAGTTGCAACATAGAAGCATAGAGGCAAAAAAGCAAGGGCTAGAGGTCATGTGAAATGTAAAAAGAACACAACAGCCGTAACACGTACATGGGCGAGAGGTATCAATATATTGGAATACCAACGAACACAAAAGCATTATGTATGAACTCCTAGACAAAAGACCGAACAAAAATCCTGTGCAGCCTCCGAGATAAATGACAGGGAATGAGGAGATAGCCCAACCTGTTCTCTCGAATACTACACCCAATTTTGACGTCAAAATTTCACACGGACAAAATATGACAACGCAAAAATTTTAAGGATTTATTAGAGATACGAAATGAGAGTTTGCAGTAATTAAGTGCAATTTCAGGGGGTCTTGAGGTGAAATAGAGGTGACGTTAGTAGACAAAGACCCAGGTGCAGAAACTGGACGGGACGGAGGTTATTGGACCAGAGGAAATTTCACCATGGATCCTGAAAGAATGAGCAGAGGCACCGAGCTATCCACTTCAACACATCGCTGCAAATGAATGAATTGCCAGTGAAATAGTAAAGAGCTTACGTGGTCCTCGTATACAAGAGAGGAGCATGACGGGAGAATGTCTAACCTACGCTTGGAACAACCCAGGTATCCCATGTCTACATTATACCCATTGATTTGTTCCATTGGTCAACCACCTTATTTACAAATCAATATTTACCCAGGTCTTTCATGGAGAGACTTAAATATTCAAACTCGTGAAGCACACAAGATCTGTGCTTCGGCTCGAAGGACCAAGATGGCTTCAGTGAAGGTAAGTCACGTCTAACAAACCTATTAGAGTTCTACGGCCCGCGCTGAGAGAGAAGGGCAAGGCTGAGAGTACAGGTGGTGGGGTTGTGGCCACTACACACATGCCACATGTTTGTGGCATGTGTGTAGTTCTCACATGTATTTAGACAACCACTTGCAAAACCTGCACATCTTTCAACCAGCATGGCAGCTGTGTTTACATATATTTAAACAGGTTATGAGCCATGAAGCACAACGAGGTTGTTTATAACAATAACAACCTTGGCTTGTGGAGTTTACAACCTCGTAAACTGTTGTAAACAAAGCCGCTATGATTGAGGAAAGATGTAGAGGTTTATAAGTACTTGCGTAAATGCTTGCCGAATCCTCGCTCGAGCCTTCAGAATATCATATACAACGTATGTAAGACCAGCACTTCAATATGCAACCTCGGCTTTGCGTCCCAACCTACACACACACACACACACACACACACACACACACACACACACACACACACACACACACACACACCTGTAAATTTAATTTAATATATCCCAAGAGATTTAAGTGGGAGAGTCCGACTATCATCACATCTGATAGTGTTAGAGAGAGAGAGATAGTGATGACGCGACAGAGAGAATGGCAGGCCAGAGACAACACATGGTCCAAAAAGTCATCACCAAGGGAAGACAGGCGGGAAACAGTCAGAATGGCAACCGCTGCCCTCAGCAAAATGAGAGACGTCAATAGATGGTGGAAGAGCCAAGACAGAGAAGCAAGCAGATAGACTGGGTGTGGGTGGGGGTGGGCGGGCGAGACACAGGCACTTTATGACTGAGAGGTAAGGGGTCAAGGAGCCAGGTCACGTCTTGACCTTTCGTCTAGAGGACTCCCCAAGGTCAGGAAGGGGAGAATGACCTCACGCTGGAGGCTGTGAGGTGAACAGGCGACCTCATCAACAGCTGTGATGCAAGGTCTACCTTGGGGGTGGGGGGGCACGTCTACAGACCCTGGGGGGGGGGGACACGTCTACAGACCCTGGGGGGGGACACGTCTACAGATCCTGGGGGGGGGGACACGTCTACAGACCCTGGGGGGGGGGGACACGTCTACACACCCTGGGGGGACACGTCTACAGACACCGGGGGGGGGACACGTCTACAGACCCTGGGGGGGGGGACACGTCTACAGACCCTGGGGGGGACACGTCTACAGATCCTGGGGGGGGGGACACGTCTACAGACCCTGGGGGGGGGACACGTCTACACACCCTGGGGGGGACACGTCTACAGACACCGGGGGGGGGGACACGTCTACAGACCCTGGGGAGGACACGTCTACAGACACTGGGGGAGACACATCTACAGACACTGGGGGGGACACGTCTACAGACACTGGGGGGGGGACACGTCTACAAACCCTGGGGGGGGACACGTCTACAGACACTGGGGGGGGGGACACATCTACAGACACTGGGGGGGACACGTCTACAGACACTGGGGGGGGACACGTCTACAGACACTGGGGAGGGACACGTCTACAGACACTGGGGGGGGACACGTCTACAGACACTGGGGGGGACACGTCTACAGACACCGACCGGGGGGGGGGGACACGTCTACAGACACCGGGGGGGGGACACGTCTACAGACCCTGGGGGGGGACACGTCTACAGACACCGGGGGGGGACACGTCTACAGACACCGGGGGGGACACGTCTACAGACACCGGGGGGGGGGGACACGTCTACAGACACTGGGGGGACACGTCTACAGACCCTGGGGGGGGGGACACGTCTACAGACACCGGGGGGGGGGGGGGACACGTCTACAGACACCGGGGGGGGGGGACACGTCTACAGACACTGGGGGGGGACACGTCTACAGACACCGGGGGGGGGACACGTCTACAGACCCTGGGGGGGGGGACACGTCTACAGACACCGGGGGGGGACACGTCTACAGACCCTGGGGGGGGGACACGTCTACAGACACCGGGGGGGGGGGACACGTCTACAGACCCTGGGGGGGGGACAGGTCTACAGACACCGGGGGGGACACGTCTACAGACACTGGGGGGGACACGTCTACAGACCCGTCTACAGACCCTGGGGGGGACACGTCTACAGACCCTGGGGGGGGACACGTCTACAGACACTGGGGGGGACACGTCTACAGACCCTAGGGGGGGGACACGTCTACAGACACCGGGGGGGGACACGTCTACAGACACTGGGGGGGGGGTCTACACACTGGGCACGGGGGGGGGACACGTCTACAGACACTGGGGGGGGGACACGTCTACAGACACTGGGGGGGACGTCTACAGACCCTGGGGGGGGACACGTCTACAGACACTGGGGGGGGGGCACGTCTACAGACCCTGGCGGGGGGGGGACACGTCTACAGACACTGGGGGGGACACGTCTACAGACACTGGGGGGGGGGACACGTCTACAGACACTGGGGGGGACACGTCTACAGACACTGGGGGGGACACGTCTACAGACACTGGGGGGGACACGTCTACAGACACTGGGGGGGGACACACGTCTACAGACACTGGGGGGGGGACACGTCTACAGACACTGGGGGGGGACACGTCTACAGACACTGGGGGGGGGACACGTCTACAGACACTGGGGGGGGGGACACGTCTACAGACACTGGGGGGGGGGGACACACGGCCCACCAGTGAGGGGTCCGCATTGGACTTTAATAACCTTGATGGTGCCCCCCTCTTCCCCCCTCCATCCTCCCCCCCCCCCGTTCCCCCCCTGTCTCTGCTTCCTTTACTACTTCCCAGTTACTTTCTCTACATCATCTTTACTTCCACCACCTGTCGTTCCGCTATCCCCAATCTCCAAGAAAGGTGATAGGGAGGAGGCACTTAACTACAGACCCGTATCACTGACAAGCATCCCCTGCAAAATACTTGAAAGAATAATTAGGCTAAGACTTGTTGAGCACCTGGAGAGCATTGGGTTTGTAAACAAGCACCAACATGGGTTCTGGACAGGGAAATCATGCCTAACAAACCTTTTAGAATTCTATGATAAAGTAACAAGGATAAGGCAGGACAGAGAAGGCTGGGCAGACTGCATATTTCTTGACTGCCAAAAAGCCTTTGATACAGTACCGCACATGAGACTGCTGTTCAAGCTCGAGAGGCAGGCGGGGGTGGGGGGAAAGGTCCTAGCATGGATAAGGAACTACCTAACAGGAAGGAGCCAAAGAGTTACGGTAAGGGGCGAGAAGTCGGACTGGCGAACAGTAACAAGTGGAGTACCTCAAGGATCGGTGCTGGGACCAATTCTATTTCTTGTATATGTTAACGACATGTTTACAGGCGTAGAGTCCTACATGTCGATGTTTGCGGATGACGCAAAGTTGATGAGAAGAGTTGTGACAGACGAGGATTGTAGGATCCTCCAAGAGGACTTGAACAGGTTGCAGAGATGGTCAGAGAAATGGCTACTGGAGTTCAACACGAGCAAATGTAAAGTTATGGAAATGGGACTAGGAGATAGGAGACCAAAGGGACAGTACACAATGAAGGGGAACAGCCTACCTGTGACGACGCGTGAAAGAGACCTGGGGGTGGACGTAACACCTAATCTATCTCCTGAGGCACATATAAATAGGATAACGACAGTTTCACCCTTATTCCCCTGTTCCCCTAGCAGTAAATAGGCATCTGGGAGTTAGACAGCTGCCACAAGCTGTGTGCGCGCGCGTGTGTAAGAGAAATATATGTAGTAGATATAAGAGGAAAAATAAATTGTTTAGAAAGCCGGGGTCCAAGAGCTAATATCTCCATTCTGCTGATAAAAAAAAGTAATTACAAATAGTAAACACACACACACCCGCACATAGAGTTGAGAGGCGGGACCACAGAGCCAGAGCTCAACCCCCCCCCACAAGCTACATAGGCCTAAGCAACCCCCCCCCCTCACACTAAGAC